TAGGGCTGGGCGATATAGCTAAAAAATTTATCAACGATATAATGTTTCATATCGTTCGGTATCGATAATTATTGACATTTTTTATAACCTTTTTTAATAGAGCAATAGAATTTTTTTTTTACATTTAACCACTGTATTTTTAAATTAACTCAATTTATTGAGACAAACAACACATTTTTTTTGTTTGTTTTAACAGTCAAACACAAAATAAAAATTAAACAAATATCTCATTTCTAATGTTTTATATGCAGATTAAATAGGTTAAATTGGCTTGTCTCCCGAGGCCACAGGAGGGCACAATGAGCAAAATAATTCAGCACGTAATGTCAACGCATGGAAATAACTGTCTATAAAAAAAAACATGCATTACGTCTAAATTAACTTATATAAATCAAATATAATTTCGTAAATTGCATAAACAATTATGAACAAAACAGTCACGTATTTATGCATTGCCAGCAGCAGCGCGTCTCGTGGGCTAGACTAACAAAACATTAAACTACAACGTCACTTGCATCATCACCGCATCTCGTGCTCCAACTGAAGACGCTCACCTAACATTGGATTGTACTATTTTTGCATTCAAATGCAAATTTTTATTTTAAATTCGACTAATATTCATTCTTTATTCACAATCTCCTCATCACAGGCAGGCACAGCACTCATGTTCGTGTTTGTGTGTGCTGTCTGCGTCACTCATAGCACGTGCCTATATCGAACATTTTTAATATCGTTCTCGAAGAAGGTGTACCGTCGCTAAATATCGATACCGTGTTATCGCCCAGGCCGAGTCCCAGCCCTATTTTTTTATATTTTTGAGCTTGACAGATGAACTACTAATTATTCAAAAACTGTTATGATGTTCCACAGAAACCAAATAACAGCTTTTGTATCACTGAAACATGCATTTTCTGTAAAGCTGCTTTGAAACAATCTGTATTACGACAGCCACTATACAAATAAATAACTGAATTGAAATTTGACCAGAACGCTTGCATGCAAGCCTGTGTTCTTACTTCTCGTGCAAAGATGCGATCTCTGACGCGCTGGTACTCCTCCTCTCGCTCCTCGATGGACTTGCTGCGGCGGCCGTCTTGCAGCGGTACCCGGATCTGAGACGCGAGACAATCAGATGCACGACCGAAATGTGATGCAAAAGTGAAACGGTGCGACTCACTAACCTGATTATCGTCTTTATCCATGCTGGCATCGTCTCGCTTCAGGATGAACTTCTTCTGGAAGTCCATGTTGCGCTCATCTTTAATGTGCTCAGAGAACCTCTGCTCGGGGCTGAAACACACAGAGTTTGATTAGTTTAATAGACGATGCATCATTATCATTCCCATCATCCACCGCTGTCTTACATGCGTGTGTTGCTGGTCTTGTTGATGATGACCGCTTTGCCGGTTTGGTCCACGTTGTGATCCATGCCAAAGTAGGCAGCGACCCGATGCAGCAGCATGCGATGATATGAGGTCATTTGAGGAAACTTCTTATACTGATTACTGGAAAAAAGATGCAAAAACAACCTCAGTACAAAGAAACGACGACGCATTTATCACAGCAGCACCACCCTTCACCATAATAATAATAATAATAGAGAAAACTAAAATTAACTGTTTAATAAAAACTATCCTTGAAATTCATGCAAAAACATGCTAAGTAATAGAGCAAAACAACCACACTACTGCAATACTCACAATCCACCAAAAGGGGGCAACAAATATCATCTACACCAGTGATTCCCATCTTTTTAGAGTGACTTCAAGGAACGAATCATTGAATCAATGACTTTCACGAACGATTCGTTCAAAGCCACTGATTCGTTCACGAAACACCGCTGTGTGTTGTATTTCTGCTGAACTATTATTTCATTGCAAAATAGAGCAAATACTGACAATACTGTGAAGAACATCACTTAATTTTACCCTTTTGTTTGTTGAACGTTTGTATAAACTCAATGTCACATTTGCAATTGTGTGGATATTTGGATTTGCATTCTTGCTCGTATAATACTATCAACATTAAAAACAAGAACTCGCAAAAGGTATGTTTTGTATCAAGAGTTTGAATCTTAAATTGATCTCTATGCACCTTCTATTTACATGCATACATTTTTACAAAAATTTAGACAATATATAGATATTATTACTATTATTATTTTATATTTAATTTTGACTTAATATAGATATTTTTATTATATTATATAATAATAATAATAATTATAATATTAATGTTTTTTT